GTTATTACGACTTTATTATAAATTGCCTCATTGAAATCAATGCTGATTGGTATCACCAAGCATTGCAAAATAACCTTAAATGTGTTAAGAAAAAGAAATTTACAGATCTCTCCGACGCGACTTCTTTCAAAATGGGTCCCCTGCTTAATCCAAAAACATTTTTTTTAATAATCAACATGGAATAACCTTAAATAAACTTTAAGGGTGTTTACAATACTACAGAACAATACTTTTTCCAGTGCCTTGAGATATAATTGTTTTTTGTTAACTCAAGGCTAAAAAACATTTATTGAGAAAATATAACAAGCATCTGCCACGAATAATCATTGCAGCCTCTGCATTGTTTTTTTCAACAACCAAAGCAATACCATTACACTGTAGGTAAATTTCTGCAATGATTTTCTCGCCAACAGTCAACAAAGAGAAAATGGTATTAATTGAATCAATGCGACCTTGAAGGAGAAAGAATGCTGGTAATGTACAACAAAGGTACATAAGATATTGTATTTTCCTTCCGGCCAGAAGAGTCCTCCTCAATATTTCCCACCCCCCAATCTATTTTTGTCCCCTTTCCCTATTTTTAAAAAATAATACATTATTCAATATGACAAAATAAAATATTTTGAAAAATCACAAAAATTGACTAAAATCTAATAATTTAATAATCCACCTTGAATTGAATGGTGTTTACTTTCAAAGTCAGGGTCCTTGTCTACCACTTCATTTGTAAAAATGAGATTATACAAATGAGAAGGCAGACAAAACAGAAATTCAGAACCCAAAGTAAAGATCATAGAGGATACAATAAGATCAACTATTGTCAGTAGAGCGTAGTCAAGTTTTGTACATTTTTTTCTTTATATGAGACTTTTTTTATTCCTTGTTTTGCGAACTTATTTTTTTAAAGATAATCAGAGGAGAGCGGAAAAAAAAAAATAATAATAATAATTTTGTTTTTTTTATTTAGCAAATATTTTTACCAAAAACATCCAGAAGGAGAACTTAAAGAATAAAATATTATTGGTGAAAGTAAACAGTGCAGTAATATGATGGTTTAAAAATGCTTTAAATTTATATAATTAGGAAGAAATACACACATACATACATACATACAAAAATCCGGGGTGGATCCAGAGATGTTGTGCTGTGGGCAGAAAGTGTGGCCGATTTAGATAACAGTAACCTAGGGGGTCCGCAAAATATGTGCGTTTTAGGCACCCACAAAATAACCTCTGAGGCGTTTTGGGTGATCAATTTTTTTCTTTTTCTTTCTTTCTTTCTCTTTTTTCACTTTCCAAAAGTAGGCCCGGCCCACCTGCTTATCTTTGAAGATTTCAAGGCAGCGGAGGCCGTAATAAAAATATAGAAAAACTTTTCTCAAATTTCCATTTTTTCCTGGCGGCAGGTGTGTATTGACCAAAATGAAATTTTCTTTTTATTCCAATTCATCAACATTTGTGGATGGCGGGCTCGCTAAACAAGCTGTATAAAAAAGTCTCGCCTGTGGCTCTACCATTAATAACACAACACAGAAAACAAGTTTGTGATATCTACAGTGCTGTACTGTAAAACTAGGTATCCATACAATCGCTACACTGTCGCTAAAGTGTTTTCAGTGCAGTCATTGTACTGCGTAGCTAGTCCTTGAGACAATCACGGAAGCTCCATCACCGAAATCTGTCGGCGATAACGTGTAGCGATTGTATGGAAACCAATCTTTCACCTTTGCTTGAGGCACACATGGGAACGAAGAAGATTTTGCATTTGTTTTCTTTTCATGGTTAAAATAAGAAACTAAAATGAGGAGATGAGAAACATGATTTTTTAACTAAATAAATATTTATACAAGATCAAAAGCCAAACATCTTTTACATTTTGTTACTTAATTTCTAGGAATGTTTCTGTGGTGAAAGGGTTTTCTTCTTTTATTATTGCGAGAGTGAGAAAATGGGTCTCCAACCAACTGTAACATTGGGTGTTCCAGATTTCTTTGTTTACTTTGGCACCATTAATATTAATGAGCTTGCATAGAAAGAATGCCGTCATGGTCTGTACAATCTTCAAATCTCGCGTTGAATCTATAACACCGATGAAATGCAGTTTTTAATTGCCTCTTACAATAGTCGTATACAGCAGCATTTGTATCAACTATATTCCAATGTAAAGGACATATTTTTAAAGGCAGGCAGTTGCTATTGCTACACCAGTCTCAATCCATTTCCCAATTCTAATTGGATTTCACATTATTGTTCTACTCCAAATCTTACATTTTTAAAATTGTTTGCATTTTAAAACGTTTGCTGCTGGTGATGCGCGTTCACATCCGACTGGGTCCATTCAGATCCCCAATGAGGACGTGAGTTCATGTCCACACCTGTCTAAACATACCAGCATTGTATTGCATGCAATCTCACTGGCAGTGGCTGCGAGAACGTGAACTCTCACCCTGGGGGTTAAGCGCAAAATTTGGATGATGTCAAAATAGATAGTGTGTGTTTGTTTGCGTTTCATAACAGTTGATGGCAATGATTTCTACTATGGTGGCTCCCTTTATGCCTTGGTGAAACTAGGAAAAAGGCTTGACAATCAATGTGTTGAATTTCTATTTGCAATCTTTGTTAAATTGTTAAAAAATGTTTTTCTCAAAACCCAATGAAACATGACGAAACCAGGACAGGGCCTTAAAAAAATGATGAAAGGTGCCGTCAAGTGTGACAAGGTGTGGTGTAAGGTGTTTACTAACTACACTTTACCAGGTATGCATGGCTGATTCAAAGGAACACAAAGGCAAAATGATGATAGGGTCACCATAGGTCAGAGGAGTTCAATGCTATTCTGCGCATGTAATAGCACTATACATTGAATTAGATTATTTATGAAGATATTAGATGATATGAATACACATGCAAAGATATGAATATGAAGACTGTATTTGAAACATGAAATGATGAATACATGATTATGAATTATGAATACATGAAATTGAATGAATATATATATATATATATACAGTATATATTTATGAATGAATACATGAATATCAACCAATGAATCGGATAGCGCACATATCTATTATCATTCTACTTCCCCATCATGCCCTGTACAGCACTGCTGATAGTTTTGATTGATTTTGGAAATATTAAAAAAATGAAACAAAACTCGCTGTCTATGTCCGAATCAAAAATGAACATAAGCCTATCAAATGCTAAGCCTATTTTCTACAACTAAAAAGCAATAATTCTGTCTGAAAAATCAAAATCACCCCTCAATTGAAGCCAAACAGTTGCGCTTTCAGAATCTAGAATCGCAGAATACGAAAACAATCCAATTCCCTAAATGGCTTCCGCGAGATACAGATCGCATCAAATGGTGCATTATTCTAGGCCTGGCCATAAGCTGCAATATACAGTAACTTAATTATGAAAAGAACATTTATTCTTCAGTCTTAAACCAATCGACAGAAAGGTTTGCTTGCTTTTTGCTATGGAAAGGGCAAATCAACGACCTCCTTTACCCGAAGTGAACTCTGGCCTGGATTCAACATGCTCAAAAATGATTATTTTACAACATTTTTTAACTCTATGAATGAATTAATAATTTACCAGAACGTTTTTGTTTTTTTTTTTGACAATACCATCAAATATTTCCTGGTTGGAAACTTCACAATCAAATGAATGAACTTGCAGTATATTCAACTCCAAGTAATATTATAGCAAAAAACTATAGATTGAAAACTATCACATGAATGAACTTATAATTAACACCAAGTAATATAGCAAAAATAGTAGATTGAAAACAATATTGATTCTTCAATAATCTTCACATTTTCATTTTTATAAAGAGAATTCAGATAGTACGGTACAGTACCACTGCAGTTCATCAGTAGGCCTAATATTTTAATATACTGAAATTGAAGTGCAAGTAAAGATTTCCTCTTTGGTTGTTGAGTATTTACTTGGTCTGTTGTTTTGCTTGTACCTGTCAAAGTGGTGTTTTGTTCTTTTATTGATTTAATTGAATTTTGTATTTTAAGAATTTTTTTCTTGGTTTTTTTTTCTCACTTGTTCTGGTTTTTGTACTGAAATTGTCCATGATTGTTAACAAAATTGTTTTGTTGTACTATTTTACTTTTCCGGAGGTTTTTTTGAATAAATTGAAATAAATTGAAAGCAAATTGTAATTTCAATTGCGGAGAGGTTGGATGAAGTGAGGCATCTCTGAATCGACCACTTCAAGATGGGTATTAAATACTGTACTGTGGATTGATGGTACTGGTGAAGATGATGATTGTGATGTTGAAGAAGATGACGATGATGATAATGATTGTGATGCTGGTGATGAGGATGAAGATTATGATGACTACTGATGTACGCTAATGATACGATGACAATATTACAGTAGGCGAGTATGAAGATTATAATTGATTGACAACGATAAACAATGATAATACTGATGATAAGTATCTGTCATGTTTGATGAGTACCAGCAAATAAAGTCAGGTGTATTGAGTCTGCTTGGTAGTAGATCCTAAAAGACAAATCAGCATCATTGAGCCAGCAGTACATATTTACTGTACCAACCAAAAGAATTACGGTACATGGCGGCAAAGAGTATCACAAGAGAGCATACTGTACTCCTATTTGTGAATACATCACTCCTAGTGTAGGACGGCTGCTGTCGTTTGTATGATCTTCATTACCAAGTACTGCATCTCACACAGTTTGTGTGTTTTCCACTATACAATACTCTCATAGAGAGTGGTAGATTTCATTATTTTCCTTTATGGTCAGATCATCGTGCGCAGTGCAGTACTGGGTAATAAAGAAAATACAAACGACAGAGGGCATCCCACACTTGCTGCGTATTGCGTATCATTTTTTTTTTACACTCTCAGTGACCGTAGTTGGCTCTCTTGTTCCATTTATACTCTGAAGGTGGAAGCAGTGATTTAACAATTATTAATATTTTAATAAAAATTATAATTATTAATATTCACTCACCAGAATGTTTTTCTGCATGTATCACAGGCACTGTAGTCTTGATCTGTTTAATAAAAACAGTAAGTTTTAAAAATTAATTAATTATTTTCTCTTTTTTTTTGAGTTGGAGCACATTACATGTGCTTTTTTAGAGTTTCATTATAAAATAGATTAATTTTATTGTCAAACAACTGACAGTAACTTTAAAAAAAAACCAATCAGTGCACTTGGCCTAATTACAATATTCTGAAAGAGTTATTATATTAATATTAGTAATCATCATCATCCTTATCTATAGCCTGTTTGCATCCCATTGCTGGGCAAAGGCCTCTGGGTTATTCCGGCTCAAATCAACCGCCATGCCCATGTTGCCCCCTTGGATTTTCCGGGGAAAAAAATCTAAAAATACCTCCAAATCCAAAATTTCAGCTTCAATTTCCAAGCGGTATTTAAGTTACAACATTTTGAAATTTAGGTACCATGCTCCCTTTTTCATGCCGCAAATGGCTCTTTTAACTATGTATGTTTTTTACGAAGCTATATCTCTAGAAATAACGAAGAAAAAATGTTGAAAATTGCTATATAGACTGAAATTTTGCCCCCTTTTCAAGAAATACCATTCAAATTTGGGTAGCATATTAGAATGTTATATTTCTGGCATGAAAAAGGGGGCGTGGTACCTAAATTTCAAAAGGTCATAACCGCTTAGATATTGGAGCTGAAATTTTGGATTCTTTTTTTTTGACATATCAAGGTATTTATTTAGAAGAAAAATCCAAGGAGTCGCATGGGAACTTTTAAACTTCTGGCTGATTTGAGCCAAAATGACCCCTCTCCCAAATCCTGCCATTTGTGTGTCTCTGCTTGTGCCCATGCTATTAACCCTATTGACTATACCAGCTCATCTCGCCACCTTGGTTTTCATCTTCTCCTTTTTCTTTCACCGTAAAGTGTTTGCCATTCAGTTGTTAATTGGCTCCATCTATCGTCCTTCCTCCTTGATGTCTAGCCCATCTCCATTGGCTTCTTTTTGCAAAGACTAATATGTTGTTTACGCTTGTTTGCTCTAACCAATCTTTGCTCTAACTTTATCTTTACTAACCGGTCATCATTTTCTCATACTTCTTTGTGTTGTTTGGAGTTTTCGTTTTCTTAAAGCCGGATTGTCACTGCGTCCAGCGGTCGTCAGCCAACACTATAAAGAACACAACGCGACGACATGCACGCAACTGATTGTTTTTAATTCAATCCGTTCAGACGACCACCTACAATTGGATATGTCGTACGACCCAGTGAGTACCCAGCTTCAGACAGTGTCCAGGTTTCATGGCCATTGGATGGTATGCTTTGATAGGTAATATAGGCCTATATTACCAATCATTTGATAATTTAGTAATTTTTATAACACACTTAATTATAATCTGAAGCCCCTGTCCAGACTATCAAAATTTCATTTGAAAAAACATGTGACACGCCTAAATATGGTCATGATGATATCTAATCATGAGCTACAGTAGGCACATTATGACTACGGGCATACAAAATAAAATATGTCTAAACAGGGCCTTAAAAAGAAGAAAATCAATTCTTTAAAAGAAATAAAAACACACCTACAGTATTGCTATGAGTTACGATCCTGCATCATTTAAAGGAACTAATAGCCACTCCTGGGCTTTTTGTCCCTGACATAAAGTATTTGTAGAGAAAAAAAACATAGCCAATACAAAGTTCAACAGAAGGATTACAAGATTACAATAAAGTAGAATAGCAGCACAAAAGTATACATTGTATTATGTGTACTGTGGATCAAATCGAATATTATGTATATTCACTTCAGTCACTGAACCGAGTCAAAATAGTTGCGACAGACAGTGCCACACCCGTTATGCAAATTTATTTTACACTACTTGGTATACTCTGCTATATACAGACTACTTGATATGCTATTTGTACCAAGTGCTCTATCAAACAAATGGCCAGAAACAGAGAAGGTGCCCAATCACATTACAAGGAACCCTTCCCTCTTCAAAAAACAATCCAGGGGTTTAAAATTAGAGTAATTAGGGGCACAAAATATTATGATTATATTTTTAAAGTTCTGCGATTTTTTTGGGGCTTCACATTTTTTTCTATGCCCAATTTTGGTTGTCCACAATTTGCAGTAATATATTTGATGAAATTTAATTTAAAGTTCTATTTTCAGTGCCTACTATTATAATTTTTAGGGCCCAATGTAGCATAGCAATATGAATATTTATGAGGAAACTACAGAAAATAGTTAAATACTTTATTTTGCCTACTTGTCCTGAGAAAGATACTGTATATCCGACATCAACAGAAAAAGTGTGCAAATTTATAGGCCTATTAAACATAAATTATGTTGTTTTGGCATCGTTATATGTACTGTATAAGAGAGGACAAGTTAGTGAGAAAAACTGCCTAAGGCAAAAACTTTTTATACCTTGTTTTGTGAACATGCTGCCTGCCAATAATGATGATTTCGAATAAAAATAACTATTTATTTTTAGCTAATTAGGGGACCTGCCACCACAAAAAAATGTACATTTATTTCAGAAAAAATTAAAGTTTTCCATAATATTTTTATACCCGCCGCTGCCTTGATATCTCCAAAAATAAGATACTGTACACATATTTCTTCCTAATTATATAAACTGAAAGCATTTAACCATCCCATTTCTACACTGTTTTCATTCAACAATAAAATGTCATTTTCTCCTCCATCAAGATGTTTTTGACAAAACCATTTGCTAATGAACAAAATTTATTTTTATTACGCCCTCCTCTGACAATTTTTAATTAATTAAAGTTTGCAAAATAATGTATAAAAATAAAATGAAAAAAAAAACCGGAACTCACGGCAAACAAGATATTTTAACATAATTGTTAACCATTGTGGCCTTTTTTATTTTAGGGTCAATGCCAAAGTTGCTCTTAAATGATATTTTTATTTCGATGTGAGTTTGCGTCGAAGTGATGTTTTGCCCTAATATCGAAATAGCATTGCAGTACCCGCCACTACTTGAGAATCGGACTTAGTCACTAAGTGCAAACTTGGTAGTCTAGTGTTATGGCGCCAGTTTATATATCTAGAGGTTGTGGGTTCGATCCCCAAATAAATTGGAAATTGGATTTAAATAAACATTTGTTTGTGTTATGGTCATCGATGCATCCATTCTTCATTTAAACTGGTAATTTTCTTTTTTGGCCTTTTTTTAAAAATTGTATGTAATTGTTATTTTATATTGTATTCAAATGAATTTTAAATAGTCAAGTATTTTAGGCCTATATGTTAAGTTATCAATTATAAATTTAACAAAATTTACATAAAATAAAGGTTAAATTAAGCAAACCATGATGACAACAAAATTTATTATTTGCCTTTTTTTGTAACTTTAAAACGAATATAAGGCCTGCCGTGTAAATAAATGTTTCTATACAAAATTACTAATTGGGGTATTAAGTCTAGTGGTGGATTTTATGAGCTTTTATTTTTAAAATTATATCAACAGTATAGTGCGAAAAAAAAATACACCAGCTTTGATTTTGTAAAAATATTATCTGGTGTTACATGGGCCTCTACTATGTCTAGACAGGACATGCTTATCAAACTTGTCTGACTCTAGCTTATGCAATGGCTGTACCAATATACCATTGTCAGTACAGTAGATTTACATTTTTAAAAATCAGCTAGGCCTAGGGGGCTAGGCTAGCCTAACTCAGGGCTGAGTTAATTAGCACCTCTTTGCTCAGTGTATTTCATATTATTTTCCTTAACATAAATTCTTGAGATAGATAGTTTAAATATGATGTAATATATGCTGTACATGTATGTAAAAAAAAGACAAGAGCCTAATAATAAAGAAACAATAGCGTCCGACGCGATACATGGTCTCCGCCATTCAAACTCCGCCGTAGCTTCCAGCAGCAGGCTACAAAAATATAAACAAAGACTATCTCTGCAAACAAATTCAGTCTGAGAATGTGACTGTTTGTTATGATTTTAAGTCTCAATTCAATATGTTACTATTCACCACTTAGGAAAACAACTTAAACTTATAATTAAACACAGGCATTAATCGTAAAGCTAGCCTAGGCCGGAAGCTTGGAAACGCACATCACGGACGAGGGCGGTGGTCAGGGGTGCGGCTTGTGTACCGGGTGCGGCCATTCTTCTCGGCGTTGCGTAGCCTAACCCATTTTGACAACTACCGAATGTAAACAATACGTAGAGAGACGTTTTGGACCGAAACATGCCTTTAAAAACTCATTAAAAAGCCATACTTTGCAAAGAAAACTTACCGTTTTCTGTACATTCCGTGTAATCACAGTACTTGTTACGAGTAATCTTCTGGCCAACTAATGCCTTCTCGTTCGTGATCGGCAGATCCTCAACATCTTCCATTGACTGCGCCATATTTGCCCATTATACCACACCCTCTCGTGTTCTTTCATCCGGGCGGTTGGCCTAATGGCCCCACCCCGGTCAGAGAAGGTCAACGTTACCTATAATAATTGTTTGCCTCTTCTTTCACACATGTTGCTATAGTTTTATAATCAAATACAGACTGTTAATGGAAATCAGAATATAGTAACCCTAATTTATCAAAAAAATATAGCGGATTTAGGCTCGAGATAAACGGTAGCGTATTGTAATTAATAAAATAGTGAACTCAGGTGGTTCCATCCTCAATGATAATTAATTCTGGTCGCCTAATTAAATATCATGTCAACTAGGCGTGACCTCATGTTTTGTAATAATTTTTACCTTTATTTGAAAAATGTGGAAAAAATATTTCCTCCCTATTGTGAGAAATTAAAATTGAGTAATTTAAGTAGGATAGGGAAAACTGACATAAAGAATCTGTTTTCTTGAGAATCAGAAGCAGACCTACTAGGCCTACAATGCAAGCACTAGCTTACGTGGTTTAGTGGCTATGACACCACTAGGCTAGTTATGTCACACGTGAGGGTCAGTGGGTTCGATTCCCACCAGTTTCATTCCGACTTTTAAAATACCCCGTTTTTAACTCATTACCATTTTCGAATACGGTAACTCCGCAGGCGGCCTTTATTGTTGGGGAGGTTTTTGTCATTGCGAAGTTTGTTTTTGTCTTGTAATTTTTTATGTAGACCCAATGCTAACTTGTTAACCAAGCTGCTGCAAAGAAAAACAATTTCTTCAAGTAAAATGGGACAATGAAGTGATATAGGCCTATATATATATATAGAACTGGAGGATAAAGTTTAAATAGGCATATTATTTTGTTATACTGTAGTGCATTGCAGGGGTCCCACACAGTAAATCTTTTGGGGATCAACATTCTTATAGGCCCTTATTTAATTTTATTTTGCTGCGCATGTTAATACAAATTGGCACTGACTTCTGAGAGAAAACTGAAATTAGTAAAAACATGCAATTATTATGAATTTGCGGAAGATTGGTTATTTTTCCGGAGATTCTCAGGGGCGGATCCAGAGATGTCCAAAAGGGGGGTGAGCGCAAAAGAGGGGGACGAAAGTTGGGCCCATGAGACAACATGCCCCCGCGAAAGTTTTGTGTTCCTGATTTCCGGGAGACTAGACTCCCGCGACCTCCGGGAGAATTGGGGCCCCTGTGTTGTGATGTTGCTGATAATGAACATGAAATTACGTTTACGATTGTTGTCATTCAAGTCATCCAGGTGACTCTTATATTGTCACGAATAAGTTCAGTAGAAATTATTTAATTTTTGAATAGAATTATAAATCAAGTTGGAAGTCGAGAAGACCGGGAGGTACACTTTGTTATCAATTTCAGAGAAAACATCCTAAGCATAAATAGCATTGGCCACTTGTGTGTTCGATATAACGTGCCTTAATACTATACCAATATTGCAAAGATAGGGGAGTGCGAAGGTGAAATTGGGAGGGGGGCCTCGATGATAAGTTGAGGCGTGCTAAAGGTGATTTTTTTTAACTAGGCCTACTTGCAAGTGATTTTTTGTTTTTCTTCTTTTTCATTCTTATTCTTGGCTATCATTCTTCTCTTTTGACTTCTGCTGCATGCAATTTGTTTTTATGGTAACTCATCCTGTATAGCCCATTGCATTAAAATTCTTCAATTTTGTAATTATTCAAAATAGGCTACACACATCCTGTTGGGCTGTTCAGTCCACGGTGTCCTGTTGGCACCCCTCTGACAGGGGCGGTGCCAGGATCTGCCCGACGGGGTAGGAGGACGATGTCCCCGACGAGAACAACGTGGGCGTGGTTGGTCGTCGCTCAAAATCTTTGTAAAGTGGTCCAGGTCGAAATTCCCCAAAAATATGACAATTTGAGACAAATGTTCCAAAGAGGACGGATGTTTGATCGATTTTTGAGTATTAATGTAGAAAATACGTAACGCCGCCACTGCCGCTGGCCATTTCCGAATTTGTAATATTTGAGCCGAATATGTAATAAATAAATAATAGGCCTATATAACTTAGCCCTAAATAAACAGAAGTAAACACACTCGACGTTCCTAAAACTCGCATCGCATAACAGATCTGGCATTATAAGTACAGTAGTAGACAACAGTTAACGCACAAATAATCATAAACCAAATATAGATTAAAATATATTTTTTTATTGGGTAATATTCCTACTCTTACTTGAGATCAAGATAGATCTACAAAAGTTACAAACGTTGCCAATACAAAAATAAACGAACACCCAAGATCTTATAATAAAGACAGCGTTCTCCGAGATTTCTGCGTGCAAAATTCTGTAATAACACAGAGCCATATATTGCGACATTCCGCTCCTCGGGATTGCGAAAGTCACGTGGTAGGCCTATATACCATCCATTTGTGTGTCCAAATCTTCCCGATGAACACATGCAAAGTATATGAGTTAAGTACATTACACCGTATTTTCAATGTTAATTTGTGTTATTACCTAATTGATAACTATTTATTGCCTAAGAATGCTTGAAGAACTGCTTAAACATTTTAAATTATTTATACAGTAGGCCTATATATAATATGAAATTGGATATAAAGTAGTGAAATCATAAAATAAAAATTAAAGTACAGGAGGCCACTAATTGTATTATACAATATTGGGCCTATAGGCCTACAGAGGAACGCACATCCATCGCGTTGGACACGGAATGGCTTCTAAATTCTCAAGTCGCAACTCTTTCAATTCTATCTATGGCTCTGGAAATAACGCAGTGTAGGGCGCCCTCTCAATTACAATTAATTTCTATTACAATCATTTACAATTTTTCAGTAATATAGGCTTTCCTGGTATAAGTTACCGAACAATCTGATATATAGTTTCATTCAATATAAAACAAAAGAATACATTTTGTAAGTAGTACTATCACTACTCGAGAAAGCAGAAACTCTATTAGTAATAGTATTGTATCACACACCATTTGGTGCCGTGTCTAAAATACACACAAATATCGTGGCATAGGCCTAGTAGGCCTACTTATAACCATCAAGATATATTAATACGTAATTACGCTATACGTTTGCGGCCTCGTAATTTACTGTTTAATTGTTCTTTACATTATATTTATTATGCTATTATAGATTATTAGAAATTTATTTAAATTTTCCATACATATCCTACCTTCCGATCCCCTTTACTACAATAACATATATTATAGAGGGCGCAATTTAGCGTAAAATGAATAATTCCACAGTAAAAAAAAAATTGGAATAAAGAATCTTTTTTTTATCATAATTAACAGACAATCTGAAAAACACGTTTGTATTAAATATTATTCTTTTTATTCTTTTTAAAATGTTTCCGCTATTAATATATTCAGCTCTGTCCAGACTATCAAATTCTATTTGATAAAAACATGTGAAATGCCTAAATATGGTCATGATGACATCACATCATGACCATATATAGGCACATCATGACTATATATGGGCATACAACAGTTTTCTGATGAAGAAAACAGATTAATCTAGACAGAGCTTAATCATAAAATATAATGTGTAACATACAAATGACACACGTAAACATAAAAACTTCATATACCTTTATAATAGAACTTAATAGCACTCAGCATGACAGATAGTCCTAAATAAACCAAATGTTCTTTATATTCTATATAAATGAATTTTGCTATATTACAATAGTGAAAAAAATTGGTCTATATTAAAACATTTGAAGCAATTTTACAAGAGATGTGAAATGGTTATTGGTTGTATTAAATCAAAAGATTGCATGTTTCATATGCATTCCTAATCTATAAATATCAATGATTTACAAATGACCTTCCCTTTGTAGTTTTAGCTCATTACAGGCCAGGGGTGGCGCCAGCGGGGTGCGGGGGTGGCTCGACCACGCCCACTTTGCTTTCGTCGGTGAAATCTGACACCTCGTCAGAGACACCAGCCGATGCCCCGTCAGGGACCTCGGCGCCCCCGTCAGGCAAATCCTGGCGCCACCCCTGTTACAGGCTGAGCCCCCATTGAATCCGCCATTGAACATTTACATAAATATTAGCTGATCTAATCTAGATTTGAAAATGCTGTTTCAAACATGGTCACAACCTACCCATTCCCTATTTCAGGAATATCAAATTCTTCCCTCATTACTTCGTATTAGGTCATATTACACCCGAACCAGCCAATATAATAAATCATTTATTCCTACATCTATTAAATTATTCAATAATCAGGTGTCTAGGTAACTGTAATTTATTTTTAATTTTGATATTTAATTTGTGTAGCGTATTTCTCTTTATAATGATAGCTTTATTGAATTTTAATTATTCCCTGTATTGTTTTTGGTAATTTGATATTTTTATATGTACTGTGTACAGTTTTTTTATTTTTTTTAATGATAGTTAAAATGAATTTTAAATTATTCCCTGTATTTTCTATTGTTATTTAATATTCTAAATGTACAAGTGTTTTTGGTATTCTTATTATGATTATTCTTTGTTGTTCTTTTTAATGTTTTTGTGTTGTCTTGAAATTTTATATTTTTTACCTTTAAATCTGTAGTGTACTAAAGACAATTTTCTAATATATTTTTCTAAATGTATGTTGGACCAAATAAATGCTGTGGTAGCAACGCATTCATCTTTCTTATTTCATTGATTCTATGTGAATATTATTGTAGAAACTCTAATTATTCCTATTTATTGTACCTTCATAAATCAAACAAAAACTTCAAATTCCTAATGTCCACTAAAAATTACAATTAACAGATGAATAATTAATATTGATTATATAGTTTTTTGCATAGACCCATAACTTGTTTGGTATTCTATTTACGGATTATAACAGTTATCCTTTCAATAACAGAAGCCTGGGATTCGAGTCCAATGCTTGTCACACAAGACATTTTATCTGCATTTGCCTCTTCACCCAGGAGTATGCACCTGGTAGCAGGTGAATGATTTGAAAGGAAATTAGTAGTGCTGATTACATGCATAACTAGGAATACTACTTGCATGTTGCGTATGATTGATTCCGTATCAAATGAACAGGAAAAATAGTGCGTGGTAGCAGCGCATTCATCTCTCTTATTTCATTTATTCTATGTGAATATTATTGTAGAAACTCTAATTATTCCTATTCATTGTACCTTCATAAATCAAACAAAAACTTCAAATTCCTAATGTCCACTAAAAATTACAATTAACAGATGAATAATTAATATTGATTATATAGTTTTTTGCATAGACCCATAACTTGTTTGGTATTCTATTTACGGATTATAACAGTTATCCTTTCAATAACAGAAGCCTGGGATTCGAGTCCAATGCTTGTCACACAAGACATTTTATCTGCATTTGCCTCTTCACCCAGGAGTATGCACCTGGTAGCAGGTTAATGATTTGAAAGGAAATTAGTAGTGCTGATTACACGCATAACTAGGAATACTACTTGCATGTTGCGTATGATTGATTCCGTATCAAATGAACAGGAAAAATAGTGCCTTGAGCAGATATGTGTGATATATAAATCCTAGAAAATATAAAAAATTATCCAGATATAACCTCTTTTAATTGTAAGCCTCAATCGTTTCTGTTCACTGATCAATCTTCCCACAATAAAGAATTCTTTATGCTTTTAACTACCATCTTTCACTCCAATTGATGATTTTATATTCTGATTACCAAGTACATCTACCAGGTTTCCATTACATTGTCTTCTCATTCTGTACCGTAAAGGGAAATTTTCACCCCACAATTGTTCCCTTTTGTTCACTTTCACCTTTCCAGCAATTCCAATTCCAGCAACTGCTGTTACTGTTTCATGAACCTTTCCATCTTCCTTCTTTCTTGAGAATCTGAAACCTACAATTGCTGTGTTTTTTCCTGTTTATTACCCCCACCTTTGTCTTTCATAGCAGATTTAAACCCTTCAATTGGTGGGTTAGTATTCTGTTGACCACTTACACTCTCCATTTTCTTGCCTAATTTAAATCCTCCAATTGGTGGATTAGTTTTCTCTTCACCACTTACATCCCCCACTTTCTTGGAAAATTGAAATCCTCCTCCAATTTTTGGGCTAGTTTCCTGTTTACCACCTTCATCCTCCACATTCTTGGAAAATTTGAATCCTCCTCCAATTGTTGGGCTAGTTTTCAGTTCACCACTTCCATCCTTCACTTTCTTAGAAAATTTAAGTCCTCCTCCTCCAATTGTTGGGTTATTTTTCTGTACATTACTTTCATCATCCATTTGCTTGGCAAGTTCAAATCCTCCAAATGTTATGTTAGTTTTCTGGAAACCACTTCCATCTTCTACCTTCTTGCCGAATTCAAATCCAAAAGTATTTTTCTGTTCACCACATACATCTTTCACCTTCTCAGAAATGATAGATCCTCCAATTGCTGTGCTTACTTTCTGTTTACTACTTTTGCCTTCTATGGTTTCGGCGAATCCTGCAATTGTGACTGGTGCTGGTTGACTTTTAAGCGCAACATTATTTGTCTCTGGTCGACTGCCAAAACCAAAGGTATGCGTTGCCTGTTGAGTTCCAAATGCAGAGATACCAGTTGGTGGTTTAATTTCAAATGCTGAGGTACTTGTAGTCTTTGATTTTTGACTTCCTATGGGAAATTCACCAGTTACTGATTGAATTCCAAATGCTAAGGTACTAGTTGTGGTACAAGTTGCTGATTGATCTCCAGATGTACAGATTGCTGGTCTTAATATATTTCCAAATACAGAGTTCCCAGTAGGTTGAAACGCAGATGTAGAAGTTCCCTGTGGGTGAAGTCCAGCAGCAGAGGTATTTGATGCTGGTTGACTTTCAAATGAAGAGGTTTCTGTTAACTGATGTTTAAATACAGAGTTGCTTGATGCTGGTTGACTCCCAAATCCACAAGCATTAGCTACTCTTTGACTTCCAAATGAAACATCAGTCAGTTGTTGATTTTCAAAAAGAGAACTACCTGCTGCTGGCTGGCTTTCGAAAAGAGAGTGACCTTGTGCTGTTTGGCTCCTGAATTGAGGAACATTAGATAGTGAACCATCTCTTACTGGTTGGCTTCCAAAAATTGAAGTATCCTGTTCTAGTTGACTTTGTGATGTAGTAGCAGCAGCAGGTGGTGGCTGGCTTCCAAATAATGAACCATCTCTTACTGGTTGGTTACCAATTAGAGAAGAATCTTGTGCTGGTTGGTTTCCAAATGAAACATTAGTTAGTTGTTGATTTTTGAAAAGAGAGGTACCTGCTGCTGGTTGGCTTTCGAAAAGAGAGGTACATGCTGCTGGTTGGCTTTCGAAAAGAGAGCCACCTTGTGCTGGTTGGCTCCCAAATGTAGAAGCATTAGTTGGTGGTTGATTTCCAAATAATGACGTGCCTTGTGGTGTTTGGATTTTAAATTCAGGAACATTAGATGATGTTTGGCCTCCAAATAGTGAACCACATCTTACGGGTTGGCTTCCAATAACACAAGGACCTTGTTCTAGTTGACTTTGAGATGTAACAGAAGCAGATGGTGGCTGGCTTCCAAATAATGAACCATCTCTTACTAATTGGTTTCGAATTAGAGAAGGATCTGGTTTAAATGCAGAAAGCTTTGTTATTTGATGTCCAGACACAGAGTTATCTGGTGCTAGTTGACTTCCAACCATTGATGTTTTGGATAGTTGATGTCCGAATACAGAGGTACTTGGTGTTGGTTGACTTCCAAATGAAAATGAACCTCTTCCAAATGTAACATTTGGCTGTCGACTTCCGAAGAGAGGAGTACCTGCTACAGGTTGACTTTCAAATGTTGAAGTTTCTGGTGCTCGATATACGGATAGAGATGTATTTTGTGCTGGTTGACTCTCAAATCCAAACGCATTCACTAACGATTGACTTCCAAATAAATTTTTTCCAAATGTAACAGAATTAGACTGTTGTTGGTTTTCAAAATGAGAAATACCTGCAGCTGGTTGACTTCCAAAAAGAGAGCTACTTCGTACTGGTTGACTCACAAAAGCAAGTGTTGGTGGTCGATTTCCAAACAAAGACATACCTGGTGCTGGTTGGCTCTCAACTGTAGAAACATTAGTTAATGGTTGGCTTCCAAATGAAAAACCGCCTCTTTCTGGTTGACATCCAAAAAGAGAATTACCTTGTACTCGTTGGTTTTCTGATGTAACAATATTAGTTAATGGTTGGTTTGTTGGTTGATTTTCAATTAGAAAAGTACCTTCAGTTGCTTGTCGTCCAAATGTAGAAACATTAGTTGGTGTTTGGCTTCCAGACAGAGAAACACCACATTCTGGTTTGCTTCTCAATAATGCACCTTGTGTTTTCTGGCTTCCAAATGTAGAAATTTCTGGTGTTGGCTGACTCCCAAATGTAAATGCATTAGCTACTGATGGACTTCCAAATGAGTTTCTTCCAAATGTAGCAGCAGCATTAGTTTGTTGTCCAAAGAGAGACCTGCCTCGTGCTGGTTTGTTCCCAAATTGAGGAGCATTAATTGGTAGTTGAATATCTTGAGCTGGTTGGCTCACAAATGTGGGAACAGCTGGTGGTTGGCCTTTCCGAAGTGCAGCAGCACCAGTCGATTGTTGATTCTCAAAAAGAGAAATACCTGCTGCAGGTTGACTTGTGAAAAGGGAGTGACCTTGTGCTGGCTGGCTCCCAAACGCAGGAGCATTAGTTGGTGGTTGATTTCCAAATAAATACTTACCCTGGGCTGGTTGGCTCCCAAATGTAGAAGCATTAGTTGGTGTTTGGCTTCCAAACAAAGAACCACATCCTACACCAAGTGATGGTTTGCCTCCAAATAGAGATGTTTTTTGTGTTGTTTGGCTTCCGAATAAAGAAGTAACTTCTGTTGGTTGGCTTCTGAATGTAGTAGGATTAGTTGCTGTCTGAATTACTGAGGCTGGTTGACTTCCAAAAAAAGGATTGTCACTCACTGGCTGACTGTATTGAACTGAATGATTTCCAAATACAGCAGAATTAGTTGCTGGTTGACTTTTGAACAAAGAATTATCTTCTTTTGGTTCAGTTTCAAATCCAAAACCATTACTTGCCAGGTAATGTCCAGATAAAGATGTTTCTCTAAATGGCTGATTTCCAAATAAAAATCCATATGTTTTGCTCTTCGGAGCATTTGAAAATTCTATTGTATAATTTTTATAAACGTTTTCTTGATTTCCACTACAACAGCACTGGTGCCGAAGCTCCTAGAAAATAAAATTAAATTGTCAAGGTCATTGAAAGTCTTCAGTCACAAGACAGAGATATGCACTATATAAAGTGACTGCTCTAGTTTAAACTTGGATAGCTGCTTAGTAGAAGCTACTGTTCTCCCACTATGAGGCTTTGGAAGTCGTATTTTATATAATAATTAACAGGGCACTGCGATCTGCCATCCTAACCAACTTGTTACATCTCTGCTAATAAAACCTGAAGATTTAAAAAAAAGCCAAATTTTATGATTTTTATTCAATTTTGTGGAACCTGTCCTTACCTCTAAACTATAGTTGCAAGACAACCCCTGAAATGAAAAGAATATTTAATGATAATAATAGATGGATTTGTACAGCGCAAATAAACAAGGTCTCTATGCGCTCAGGACTGGATAATAATGTTGTATGGGCATATCTGACGCAGACGTACTTATAAAATTGTAGCAAGGCTTGGAACATAGCAACAAGAACATACATTTGAACTTGCCTATAGTCAAACCCAAAATTTAACAATTGTTTGACTTGGATAAAATTTGACTTGCAGACAGTGGTGTATCTAGAAGTCTTAAAATGGGGATGCTGATATGGTGGGGGGGGGGGCGCGAAGGTGAAGCGGGGTCCTTGACTATCAGTTGAGGGGCGCTAACAAAGTCAACTTAGGCAAGTTTAACTGTATATCTAAATAAAAAACAAGGTCACACTGATGCTAGTATTAATTTGTTGAATGACTCCTACCTCAGTTTGTAATTTTTCACAATTGCAATTTTTTTGCTTAGATTCAATAATTTGATCTGGAATAGGAAAAAAAATGAATGTCATTTTTAAAGAACATATACAATACTTTTCAACTTTATATTCAGACATCTAATTGGTCTATTAATTATAGTTGGTCAGACAATGTAAATCAGAACATTTTCCAACTTCTTTAAAGACTTGATGGGAAGACATGCAAGGTCTTTTACCAGATATGTTGTAATAATATAGGATAGCATAATACATACATTTCAACACTTGGAGTATGTATTATACTATCTAATAAACCATACACTATCAAAATCTATTCAAACATTTCTTTGATGAGAATGACAGATAAAAATACAGAATGTTTGATTTGAAAAGGTTTAGACATAAGGAAGAGAGTTTTCACTTTGCAAAATCTGACATATTATGAACAGATTAAGACATACAACAGATTAAAATGATATTTTAGCTTAAATTTTTTTAATATTATTTTTCTCATAATTTACCTTGACAAAGCCCAGTCAACCTGAACTTCATTTCACCCTCACTAACAAGTTGTAAGTCCACTGGTTCTACAGCTGTCTCTTATACACATCTAGATGTGTATAAGAGACAGTTGTGGAACCTGTCCTTACCTCTAAACTATAGTTGCAAGACAACCCCTGAAATGAAAAGAATATTTAATGATAATAATAGATGGATTTGTACAGCGCAAATAAACAAGGTCTCTATGCGCTCAGGACTGGATAATAATGTTGTATGGGCATATCTGACGCAGACGTACTTATAAAATTGTAGCAAGGCTTGGAACATAGCAACAAGAACATACATTTGAACTTGCCTATAGTCAAACCCAAAATTTAACAATTGTTTGACTTGGATAAAATTTGACTTGCAGACAGTGGTGTATCTAGAAGTCTTAAAATGGGGATGCTGATATGGTGGGGGGGGGGGCGCGAAGGTGAAGCGGGGTCCTTGACTATCAGTTGAGGGGCGCTAACAAAGTCAACTTAGGCAAGTTTAACTGTATATCTAAATAAAAAACAAGGTCACACTGATGCTAGTATCAATTTGTTGAATGACTCCTACCTCAGTTTGTAATTTTTCACAATTGCAATTTTTTTGCTTAGATTCAATAATTTGATCTGGAATAGGAAAAAAAATGAATGCCATTTTTAAAGAACATATAAAATACTTTTCAACTTTATATTCAGACATATATTTGGTCTAATAATTATAGTTGGTCAGACTATGTAAATCAGAACATTTTCCTACTTCTTTAAAGACTTGATGGGAAGACATGCAAGGTCTTTTACCAGATATGTTGTAATAATATACCATAAACGGAAAGGTCCACTGATTAATCTCAGGTAGGATAGCATAATACATACATTTCGACACTTGAGTATGTATTATACTATCTAATAAACCATACACTATCAAAATCTATTCAAACATTTCTTTGATGAGAATGACAGATAAAAATACAAAATTTTTGATTTGAAAAGGTTTAGACATAAGGAAGAGAGTTTTCTCTTTGCAAAATCTGACATATTATGAACAAATTAAGACATACAACAGATTAAAATGATATTTTAGCTTAAATTTTTTTAATATTATTTTTCTCATAATTTACCTTGACAAAGCCCAGTCAACCTGAACTTCATTTCACCCTCACTAACAAGTTGTAAGTCCACTGGTTCTACAGTATGGCTGTTAATTAAGTTGCTAAGTTGGGTATATTCAACAACAAGTAGCTGAAGACTTTAAAGAAAATAATAAGTGGATCAAATTAAGATTATAATGTTTATCATACAGAACTTCTACATGATGATGATGATCTCTATAGAATCATATCAGCCTACAGCCTTATCATGTCTGTTTGTATGAAACATCTAAGCCCACTATCAGTGATGCTGTTTGTATGAGGTGCAGATCAACATGGGAGGGGGGGGTTGGAGGGAAACATCCCTCGCATATATTTTTCAACTTTTCAATTGCAATGTAATTTCTTAAGTCAAGAAGATATCTGAAAGTTGTTGTAATGAACTGTAAAAAAGACCCAGGTTTTAAAGAAATGAAGCATTTTTATGCTGTTAAATTAAAATTATTACTTACAACTCTTGTGCAATTTAAATATTTTAATAAATATCAGGAGCGGATCCAGAGATGTCTGAAATGGGGGGGGGGGGCAAAAGTTGGGCCGATGGAGATAACACTACCTAGGGGTCTGGGAGGAAAAACTCCCCGCAAAAATTTGGTGTTTTAGACACCCAAAAATAACTTATGAGGCGCTTTGGGCAAACACGTTTTTTCTTTTTCTTTCTTTCTTTTTTTTTTTTGCTTTCCAAAAGGAGGTGGGGGGGGGGGAGGAATTCCAAAAGGAGGTGGGGGGGGGGAGGAAACCAGGCTGGGCTGGCCCGCCTCCCCCCACTCCTCCGAAATTCGCCCCAGAAGATGTTATGTGATTAAATTTTTCTGATAAGAGATTATGAGGAATTTGTTGAAGCTTGATTTTCACTAAAATGGTGATGTGATGAATAAGTTTACTGTCCAGACTATCAAATCATATTTGGCCAAAACATATGAAATGCATAAATATGGTCATATGGGCACACAACAGTTAAGAGTGTCATTTCTAGCCATCTTGAGGTATTATTTCTTCAAATTTTCGCTGTTTGGTTTTATGCTTTTGCATTGACATTGACTTAAATAGGAACAAAATATTTTGAAAAAAAATATGATGATAAGACTATGATTAAACAATTTGTTTACCGTTCACCCAACCAATATTGGGAAAAATCTTGACTTTCAAAACAGATCTGTACTCTGACAAATGCTTGTGGTATTTAGGTAGTTCGGATAAAAGTGCTGTTTTGATGTATTCAATTGAGTGACTTCAATCGTCATCAGAATAATTATTCTTCTGTTGACAATAGAAGCCACTCAATCAAAACTTTACGACTGTCTCAACAGGAACAACAGCTCTTATCAGAACTATCAAATTTTATTTGACAAATGCATGTGATATGCCTAAATATGGTCATGATGACATCACATCTTACACATCATAATTATTATTATGGTATACAACAGCTTTTCAAAAAATAAAATTTGACAGTCTGGCCAGACTGTTAAATTTTATTTTGAAAAATAAAATTTGACAGTCTGGCCAGGGCTTAAGACAAGCCTTACTATCTGAATTACAGTGTGGCCAGGGCTTAAGACAAGCCTTTCTATCTGTATTACAGTCTGGCCAGGGCTTAAGACAAGCCTTACTATCTGTATTACAGTGTGGCCTGGGCTTAAGACAAGCCTTACTATCTGTATTACAGTGTGGCCAGGGCTTAAGACAAGCCTTTCTATCTGTATTACAGTCTGGCCAGGGCTTAAGACAAGCCTTACTATCTGTATTACAGTGGTCTCTTATACACATCTAGATGTGTAAGCCTTACTATCTGAATTTCAGTCTGGCCAGGGCTTAAGACAAGCCTTACTATCTGAATTACAGTCTGGCCAGGGCTTAAGACAAGCCTTACTATCTGTATTACAGTGTGGCCAGGGCTTAAGACAAGCCTTACTATCTGTATTAGTTTTTTTTAACACAAAATGTGAAAAAAAAAAAAAAAAAAAATTAAAATTGTGTATTGAGATGCATTGAATTTGGCAAAGAATAAGAACCTGTATTATTCTTACTTAGTTTGTAAATCCATTGTTTCTGTGATATTCTGAAAAAGACAATAAAAATGCCAATTATTCGTACCTTTACATGATAGCAAATGGTAGCTTAAAGAATGCTTCAAAGGAAGCATCACTGATCACTGAAAAATACCTTCCCATGATGCATCTGTGATGTTTCCACATCTTCCAACCTTTTGTTCAACACATTAATGGATCTTTCATAAATGTCAAATTCTTGACATCTTCTAGCGACTGTATCCTCTAATGTTTTTAGTAATCCTTCCTCCATCTTGCTTAGACGATCCAACAGTAGCTTTTTCTGGTTTGCAAACAGTTTCATAACAGCTGCGGCTTTGCTCTGCAAAAACTGAACAAAAACATTATTTCAAGTTTATTTCATGCTAAAACAACCAACAAATGCCGCACCACTTTCAAGATGGCAATTCTATCATTAGTTTTGCCAATTTGGTAAATTTTTGAAAAACCAAATACAATAGATAACAAATTCTGCCATTAGTTGCCAGAGTTCATCAGAAATTGGCAGTCTTCTGCACTGCTAAGCATAAAATCTCACAGAAACCTTTTTATTACTGTTTTATTGTTATTGTAAGCTGGTCATGGGTGTCAAAATGTGCACCAAAGTACAAGTATACAAGTAGCTCATTAAACCAGAAAGCTTCCCAAAGTGGATTCTCACAACTTGCTACCTCTGATATAATCTGATCTTTAATTAATTTTCAGTATACAGTTTTCCCTCTAATTTAAACCCCTCCAATTAAAGTCCACCCTCGATTTAAAGACCACTTTTCTGTGGTCCCATATTAACGAATGCATTTATAAATATTATTCTACTTAAAGACCAAAGCTGTTAAAGAAAATCCTGGCCCCAAACATGGTTTTTAACATGTTGGCTGCCAGCGACGAATATACTCATCCCACAGGGTATTGCTGAGGGCGCCAGGGGCGAGAATACTCATCTATATTTGGGGTAACATTCTGGCGTTTATTACTTCTTTGTTATACATTTTATAACCAAGGCCGTAGACAGCTATTGGGACAGTTGGGATCGTCCTCCATAATTTTTCTAATGGGTCCACAAAGAAAGTGTCCACATTTTAAATAATGGGTCCAAATTATACAGTTTCATGCATAAAATGAGTCCACTTTTTTAAAAAAAGGGTCCAGGTTTCTCATATTTAGCCTAAAATGAGTAAAATTTTAAGGAAATTGGTCCAGATTTTTCATATTTAAGGCATGTCGTGGCGAAATGGTTAAGTTGTCACACAGGCCAGTATTTAGTAAATGAGCTATAAAATATGGGAGCTCAAAAAATTGCCTAAAAATCCAAATTTGTTTTTCACTATAGATCAATAGTTTAATGTCTTATTAATCATGGACCAAAGTATTAGTTCTGGAAGTGGTCAACAAATTGTTTACATTAAAGTATTTGTGATAGTTCTTTCTATTAAACAATGTATTTACAAATAACTTTGAAAGGCAATTACTCAAAATCATGTTTATCTTGATTCTAAGAGTAGTGTACTTTCACTTTCCAATAACTTAGGCTTGAAATGTCCAATTTCAATGATTGACCCCCTCATACCTGTAACTTCAATTCTAGCTACAACTTAGCCATTTTGCCACAACATGCCTCATTTTTGCATGAAATGGGTTAACATTTAGGAAAATGGGTATTTGAATTTACACGTAAAGTGGGTCCACCCTGATATTGCCCCGCACTGTCTGAAAATCCTGGCTACGGCATTGTGTATAACCACAGACTCAACAGCTGACAGTTTGAGGAAGATACACCTAGACGATAATGTAAAAATGACGTATGTTTGTTGTGTTATGCTGCCGGTAGTACACAGTACGGCACTAGTGGGAACGCCCTTTGAACATATACCAACCCATGTAAAAAGCGGACGAGGTAACTCGCACTTGGCATAGGCAGTAAAAAGTGCTGTCACGGTGCCGTCGGCGAGTTTACCAGTCCCCTAACATTTTCTAGCCAATTTATTAGACACATCATTTTGATGATATATGACTAGATAAAAATTTCAAAAAAAGTATGTTTGTTAACTTGTTTTGGCACACGGGAAGGAACGTTAAAAAAAGGTCTGGCAGTCAACATGTTAATTGGAGGGAAACTTGTACACCTGTAATCCAAAAGCGGTTTCACCTAAAAAAAATAGTATGACATCCATGAGCTGAAGGGTAAATATATACTGTAACTCCAAATGCATGATAAGAAGTTATGGTATGAGCATTTATACTTACTTTCATCTGCTGTGATTTCCTTGTTTCTAGTACCAAGTTTGGAAATGCCTTACTGTTATTTAAGACTTCAACTATGTTATTACTGGCAGTGATATGCACATCTCTCTTTTAGGAAAAGGAAAAAAAAAAAACAATTGATAAAGAAGTGAGGAAGAACTCACCCTTTTTGAACAAACTGTATTAGTTTTAAAAAGCAGTAACAAATTTAGCCACTGCAATATTCATCTCTTGCAAAAGAACATGCAGGGAGTCAAACTGCCTTATGCTGGGTAATTCAACAACAGTAGTCTGGTAGGCTTTAGATATTTAATGTAACTCTTCACCTCACCTATGTAGCTATGATCTTTGGGTAAACATCAGACTAATCAGTGCTTGGTATAAAAAAAATGTAAGATGGACATGAGACCTTGCAAGGCACAAATTGAGCCTTGTGTGTGTCGCTAGTTTGGGATAACCCTTGATATGTCACATGGCATGAGATTCAACAACTCAAGGATGACACAAGGATGCCACATCTCAGGAAATCTTATGAGAACCCTATTTCATTCTTATGAGAACCCCATTTCATTCTTATCAGTGCCCTACAGTATTCCATTCTTATGAAAACCCTACTTCATTCTTATGAGAACCCCATTTCATTCTTATCAGTGCCATATTTTATTCTTATGAGAATGCTATCTCATTCTTATGAGAACCCTATTTCATTCTTATGAGAACCATATTTCATTGGCAAATTTCACATTGGTGAGAAACCTCTCACATTGTTAAGATAATCAGTGGCATATCTAGTGGGTGTGGAGAAGGACACACACTCCCTAAAAAAAGATTGCATCATATTTTGTGAGCTATCACCCCCTCACTTAATCATCAACCCCTTCCCCAATTCACATTTGTACCCCCTCAGCCCCCTTCCACATTTCAACACTCTTATTATACGCCACTGAAGATAATATACTTACTTCGCCCTGTTCCTCTGGTACACTTTGTTTTGTGGTCTTTGTAGCTTTGATTTCATTTGAGCTTGACAAATCCTACAAAAACAAAAAATTACTATTATATTTTAAGATACAATTTTCTCATTTGGAAAAACTTAGGTAATGTAGTGTAGGGTATAACTACGTAAAAATACCTCCAAATTTTGTTATAAGCATAATAACAACATAGAAAATTTTCATCTGGTTTGCTTAAAATAAACTGTAGAACTGTTTTATCAATACAATTCAACTTGCCTAAGTCGAATCCAAAATGCGATTGAAATATTGTTGGACTTAAATAAAATTCAACTTACAGATTGTTAAATAATGAAATACACAACAATTTGCCATGTAAAATTAGATCAACTTAGAAATTATTCGACTAATAGGAAAAGTCGACTTAGGCAAGTTTAACTGTAATAAACCAAGCACAATGGATGTAAATCCTCAACAACAGATGCTAGCTTACATAGTTAATGAACTCATGTTGAGAACATTGGCCGCATTCGACTGTCATTCTTCGTTTAACCACGCCCACCTGTGCAGTGGTAAAATCCTACTTAACGAAGACGACCAGTCGAATATAAAACTGGTAAATACTCGACAAAACAAAATGGCTGCATAGTTACCGCGATACACGCTGTGTAATTAAGGCTGCTTCAGATTGTGGCACTATGGTTTATTCGTAAAAAAATGTTTTCATCCAGTTCTTGAATTCTGTTAGCTACAATTATTTTGACTTCAATGTAGGTAAATATTACAATTTTTATTTTCTGAAATTTAATCTAAATTATATTAACGCAAATGTTGTTGCTAAACTGACCGAACGGCCATATTTTTTTTTGGTCATGTGCATAGCTTAACACTGATTAACGCATTCTGGTTACATTAATTTTCATTATCTACAAAGTCTACAAACCAGTCAAATGAAAATTATACTCAACGAAATGAACCAGTCGAATAAGCCTAATGGTAAAAGCTCGCAGTAAGTTTACATCAATTGTGCTTGGTTTATTAGCGATAAAACAGTTTTACAGTCATATAGTATTGTATAGAGAGTATTATAAAAAAAATACATGTTTTGGATTGGATCGGATTTCTTTCTTCTTGACTGCGCCTTTTTCAGCAACATGATATACATTTTCTTCAGCAGGCAACTCATGCTTGGAATCTGGTAAAAAAATTTAATTGAAAAAATGAGTAAAACAGGTATATAAAACTTTGTGATTTTGTAAAAATAAACTCGCCAAATTCAAAAAGTCAAATAGATAACACGTATCAATTGAATGGATGGCCTATACTCATTATATCATATCCATACTGTAGCTCCTAGGAAACAGTACTACATACACTAAGGCAATGGCATATCAAGAGGGTTCACACTTGTGCCCCCACCCCCACCAACCAAAAATGCTTGCACCCCCAGTCTTCCCTCTATTGAAAATTTAAAAGAAAACGTAATCATCAAGCCCTGAATACTCCACCTTAGCGCCCCAACCCCCCATTTCAAGACTAATAGATACACCAATGCACTTGGGTAAAAAAAATGGATTAGTCAAATTTCCTCACCTATGGATGCTTCAAAGATGTCTTGGACAACTTCCAAAGTCAAATCGGAACCACTCTGGGTTCTCATAGATCCATTACATTTTGGGCACACAAATGGATTACCATTGCCACATTTCCATACGGATTTCTTTTTCTGGACTTCTTCTAGAGCACAAGCTCTGCAGATGCTATGGCAGCAACTCAGTACGATGGATTTGTCATCGGAAAGGAAGCAGACACTGCAAGTAAGGACCTTCATCCTAAGGAATCCCAAGCATCTAAGGTGAATGATAATATAGTACAGTATTTTTTTTAATTAATTATATTCCATATAAATAAAAAAATCCCCATATTTCGCTACATGGTCTAGAAATTGATAAAATATAGTTAGTGTATCATGAGTTGTTTATAAATATTTCATTTGACTGTACTTGACCAGTGGCGGTGCCAGCGGGAAGGCGGGGGGGGGGGGGGGGGGGGGGGGGTGTTAAGTAAGTCACCTATTAGACAAGTCAAGACCCCACCATCTGAGCTTGTCAGGCAGTCGGACTACAAAAAAAATGGCATATACGCCAAGCCAAAACATGGGCCATTTCAGGCCATCCAGAGGTCCCTCTTTAAAAACAAAATCACAATTGGGAGGGCAGACCTGCCAACTCACCCGATCCTGTCGCGTGTCACCCGATATTTAAACAAATCTCCAGTTCTCCTGATCGAATGTAATTTTCACCTGATTTCACAGGCCACCCCATCTCCCCAAAAATACTCCATGCATAATTTGATCGTTATTATTCAATGTTTTCGCCGCCTGCTCGCTTCACGGTGCATAAACAAGCAGCCATTTTCAATTCGAATGTCACATTAAGGGCCAATGATTTGTAGTGGCATGTGATTTTGTATCTTGCATCATCTCTTGGTTAATTATGGAAACCTCCAAATTTTTTGGTAAATCTACAGATTTTTTTAAGATTCTTAAAAAAATCTCCAGATTTTCATGACCCAAGGGTTGGCAGGTCTGGGAGGGGGTCATGCATACAAGATCAAGCTCGATAGTCAGACAGCTTAGGGGGGCCCCACCCAAAAAAAAAAAAAAATTATCCAAAAGCTGCCACTGTCTTTGACCTTGGCGTACCGAAGGTGTGGCATTCTGCAACTGTAAATAGGTTGGTGTATGAAATGTATGTATCACATTCATTCATTATCATTTTTCGTATTTATTATTATTATTATTATTATTATTTATTATGCTTAGACTAGGTTATACACAACTGTTCTTGGCCTAAACTAGGTAGAGGATAACTCTGATCAGGTTTTAAGACTAGCAAGAGAGCCAACAATGCCTGGCTTGGCTACTAGGCCTAGCTAGTTAGAAGCTCGGCTAGCAGCTAGTACAAGCTTGCCCTACACTTTACTAAGGTCCCCTGTCTGGCTTGGCCTACTACTACCCTAGGCCTACACGTTTCGGATCGTAACACCTGAGTTATAATTACGATAGTCACCTCATTGCTGAACTCAATAAGAACGGCAAAATGTAGTGTTTAATATAAAAAATAGAACTAATCATACCAAAGCTGCAGTCCCATTCTAATCGGATATCGGGATTTGGCGTGATGTCCTCCAGCCTTGGCAAGCAGCATGAAGGGAAATTCCCGTATTGGTTTGTTTGTAACTAGCGCCCTCATTATGTTCACAAATGTTCCCATGATTTATTTATTGTAAAGTTGAAATAAATAATCAATTAATTTGTAAATAAGATTCTCCGCGTTTAGCCTGTCTCTGTGAATGATTCATGTCCGGGTACAATGGTGGCAAAACTTCAAGGTGTTTCATAATACAGGTGCCACTGCGGAACAGGTGTCTCATCATATGCCGATAGAAAACGCAAGGCAAAGAGGCGCGTGCTTACAATTATTCCTACAGAAAATGCACTTGGAGGATTAATGTTTCCATAATTTGTATTGTAGCGTGTCGTACCATTTAACATCCTAATTTCCTCGCGCCTCCTTTCTTGGAGGTATTATTTTCGCTTACTACCTCTAAACCATGGGATGGGCATTAAAATGGGTCGGAGGGCCGAAGTGAATGGCTGGGGCTGCACCCAAAATTTGACGTTTCAGTGCACATCCAAAAATCTTCATCACACTGTCTTATGGCCACGTCATGCTCAGGTTTACTCTTCTTTACAGATGAGTCAGTGCCGGCTCGGAAAAAAAAACAAGGTGTTTTCTAGCCAAAAATCAGGGGCTGATTTGGGGGCCTCTTTTGGAAGGTTAAAAAAAAAAGAAAAGAAAAAAAAAATTGATCGCCCAAAACGCTTTAGAGGTTATTTTGAGACGTCTAGATCACAAAAATAAATTCCCCCGGACCCCCTAGGGTAATACTACCTCGATGGCCTTCTACCGTACCCCTTATACACTTTTTTTTTTATAAGAACACTAGGCTGAAACTGCTTAAAAATTAAGAACAAATTGAGGCTGATGTAAAATTTCAATGAGGTTTTTATTTTTTTTAAATAAAAAAATTATATCCATACTTTATGTGCAGTAGATGTGACAATGTAATACTCTACTATAATACAGTAGGCCTACAGACTGTAGGTGTATCTATCTGGCATTTGGAGCCATTTCTTGTGGAGCCACTTTCACCTACATTCTAGTAAAGTGTATACTGCTGTATATTTAATCATTTTCTATGTTTAAAAAGTGTACAAAAAATTGTTTACAAAAACTTAATGCAATAATAGCATATTGACTACTTTTGTATATTTTCGGAAAATATTTCAGCTGCTCCAAATCTCTTTCCTATTCTTCCTTCTTCCTTTATTCTTTCACAATTTTGCGTTTTTTTCTTCATATTTTTCATAGTTTTATACACTCACATATTCATTTGTTTTAGGACTGGTCTAGACTAGACCTCGGCTATCAGTGCCTATTACTATATTATTTAAATATACAATTTTAATAGATAACATGGACATAGTAATTCATACTTAAACAATACATTAAATTTATATATTAATATGATAACGTTAACAAATAAATAACAATAACTAAACCGTGTACATAGTGTATCACTACTGCAATAATAAGATTAACATTTTCAATCTTATAATAAATTTCATACAGCCGGTGTTATGTATTGACCTAGGCTACTATGGCTAATGACAGGTACGCTTTCACCATTAAAGGCTTTTTCTATGAATGGAATGACCTGTACGAAACACGAGCTCCTGTAGACCAAACCCAGTACCGTTACGATTTTAATCGTACGGGAAATAGCTCAATAATTTGAGCAAGCCGGAAATCGGCCCAAAAATAAGAACAATGAGCCTCAAAATAACCAGGCACCTCACGCAGATGGATTCGTATGACATAGTGTGTGCCTGGCTTTAGAATGAAGTTCACAGAAAACAAACTTGACAAAACAAAAGAATAACAGCAGTTTTGTCGTTTCTAGTGGCCTGTAAAGTACAGGGGGTACAGGGCCAGAGGACCCAACCAGGGCCAGATTAAAGGGCTGTGGGCCCTGGGGCTGTAATTGCAAGTAAACCTAAAACATAAAACCAGATTTTCTGGGGTTCAGTGGCCTGTATTTTCCCTTTGGGGCCTGTAATTGGCCTGGGCTGGCGCCCCAAAGCCCCTATTAATCTGGCCCTGACGCCACGAATCACTTTCCCCAACTGGAAATTTTCAAAGCAAAAACATGTGACACTCAAGTAGTCAGTAGCATATCTAGGGGATGTGCACGCCCCTCCAAAATTACTCGTGCCCCCAAAAAATCATGGAAATGTTCAAAAGCACCTACAGTAAAATCATCTTATTTTGCGAGTTAGCACCTCCTCAACCAAACATCTATCCCCGCAATTCACCTTCTTGCCCCCACCCCCATCATCACCCCACTTCAAGAACCCTAGATACGCCACTGCAAGTAGATAAAATCAGTATATGTATCTATCAACTTATTTCGTACAATCAACTTATAGTACAATACAATTGTACTTTTACTATGGTATTCAATATTATTGGGCTACAAAATATCAATATTTCTCTCAACCCATGCATCTGAGAAGTTACTTTGTAGCAGGGGTGGCGCTAGGAAATCATCATAGTGTAGTAGGGGGAAAATTAAATTTTTAAAAGGTAATAAAATTCTTCATTTAAAAAGGATAACTTGAAAGAAAATAATACAAATTATTATTTGTATTATGACAATACATTACAATATTAAATAATTATAAAGTTTTTATTAAGATCATTAAAAGAAACTAAACTGAATATAAAATAATATATAGTGTTTCTTGTTGGTATAATAAAAATTCGGAGGGTGATACTGATAAACCTCGCCAATCATGATGGTCTATCTTTGTTGTCTAATTTATGTAATAATTATTCTATCATCATCTCGGTTGGCTTTTTTCTTTATTAATATTTAACTATGTATTGTTGTTGACGTTGTTTGGTCTGATGATGATTTCGGTTGTTCGAATTTTGCTAAAAAACTATCAAAACTGAATGTTCCTGAATATTGTACTGGTTTTGTTGGGTCTAAAGATGTTTTCTGTTGCTCAAATGCAGATATATTACTACCAAAACTGCATGTTCCCGAAGATGATGTTGTTGGCGTTGCTTGATTTGAAGTTTTAACAACTGCAGTTTTAGCAGACAAAGTTTTTTTTCTTTCAAACAAAGAGGCAGTTCTGGATGACGTTTTCGATGGTGAAAACCAAGTACTTGTGACTGTTGACTTTGCTTGATTTGAAGTTTTAACAACTGCAGTTTTAGCAGACAAAGTTTTTTTTCTTTCAAACAAAGAGGCAGTTCTGGATGACGTTTTCGATGGTGAAAACCAAGTACTTGTGACTGTTGACTTTGCACTGTTTAAGCCTACAAACGAAGTCCCAAAGTCAAATAATGGGTCTAGCATCAGTTTATTCTGCTGGGATGATGATACAATCTTCTCAGACACATAGTGCGACCAACGTATTTCCTATTAAAAGAGAAGTATTTATACCATTAGTATTCCTGCCAAAAATATAGAAGAGGTAGGATCCATATGGAAGTAGCTATTTGGTATGGTGGCTTCTAGGAACAAAAATGTTTATTAGGCTAGAAAATAGACTACCAAACAGATCTGGAACCACAAAAACAGGGTCACATCAATTTTGAGTAGACAGAATGTGATTAGGAAGGTGTTTATTGATTGTGTTGATTTTTATTGAAAACAACAAAAGTAGTAGGAATGTAGTAAGTGCCAAAAAACAGAAGAAATTCAAGAATATCAACAATGCTTTGCATAAATCAGTAATGTTGGAAAAGTACCCACACTCGGAAATGACATTAAAATTTTTATATATTATTGACTACCAAGCAAGTAAAAAGGTAAAAGTTATTTTCTTAGGCTTCTACTGACTTCTTATCCGTGTAATTTCTTTTGTATTCCATCGCATTGTTATTGTTGCATGTATTTTTTAAATAAAATTAAAAAAAAAAAAAAGGATTTTAATACACTTTTTGAATTTTCAAACAGATGAACCATATTCCATTTTGGGCTTTTCATTTTATAAATTATACAAAATTATAAAAATAAAAAATTAAGTTAAACTTTGAATGAAATCATATAAAATTATTATTATAATAATTAAACCTAATATTTACCTCAAAAGACCAGTTCTCAAATTCAGTCATACTGGATACAGTCCGATATCTAACTTTAATATCATTTTCTGCACCACGATGCACTTTGTCACATCCTTCTGTGGCCTAAATAAGAAGAAAAAAGGTGGAAATTTTTAACAGATACATGTTAATAACTAATAAATACTTGGATTTTACCTCATTCTTTTAAACTATTATTAAAATTGTGTATCATTCCTAAACATGATCAATTTATTCACATTAATATTCAAGTGCTACTCTCAAATAAACCTCATGATCCTTTTTAAGCTCTGTCGACGCTATCAAATTTTCTTTGATAAAAAAACTGCTGTATGCCCATATATAGTTATGATGTGCCTATACATGGTCATGATGTGATGTCATCATGACCATATTTAGGCATGTCACATAAAACTTGATGCTATCGAAATGTAGCAAACACATTAAATTTCTGTTTCTGGATTTATTGCTCCGGATTCAGCAGTGAAATTTCAGGGCTACAAATATGTGAAGTACTGTATGCCTAAACTGGTGATGACATACACAAACATATGCCCTATTCTCAGTTGCTCTGTTCAAAGGTGGAATAAGATATGAATAATAACCATACCACCTGTATATTCAAGACATAAATCATTTCAAGAATAATTACATAAACAATCAAATAAATAATTTTTTAAATAACTTTTAAAAATGCCATTGGAATAGTATTGCAGTACCCACTGCTACTTGGGGATTGGACTCAACGGTAGCCACCAAGTTCGGTGATCGACTGGTTAACAAACTAGCCTAGTTATCTGGAGGTTGTGGGTTCAATTCCCACCTAAACCATTTGCTTTTTCGCAAGCAGTATGATAACATGTCAGGTAGGGAAAACATTATTTGTATTAATACATGCAGTAGAACCTCGATTTTACGTACGGTACGGTACGGGACCGGAGGGCGTACGTGAATCGGGGGATTCATATAATTGAGGTTGGGTTAAATTTGTGGTGAACTTTGACCAAATACTCAATAAACATATGTTATGAATGAACGAACGATGTTACCTAGGCTAGACCTACGAATAAAACCATGTGTCTAGCGTTTTTATTCATTAATTTACGATGTCACAATAAAGTGTTCAAATAAAACCATGTGTCTAGAGCATTAATTCATCACTTTATGTCCTTTATTTAACTAAGGAACATAAAAATATTTTAAGATTACCTATACAACAAAGGTATAACTTGGGAATTCCCCTTCATGGCTATTCTAAACAACAGAGCTTGGTGTTGTCTGGGCCTGCCTGCTGGGACCATAGAGCAAAGAAACAGTTTCTGTTTCTTTGCTCTATGCTGGGACAAACTAAAACCATGTGCACTGCACTGGACAAGCCAACCAATTAGCGTTAATGTACGTGAAACAGCAACCACTTGCATTACACTGGGCGAGCCAACCAATTAGCACTTGTGTACAAAATTATGCCTACTCAGCTTCGTGTAGAAAATTCGATCAGACGAGTTTTCCACACGAAGCCAAGGAGAAAAGCAATTATTTTGAGCATCATTGGTAGTTGTTCAACTCGCTTAGCTCACATGGTTTTAGATTATAACAACCCAGTATTAGACCCATTCAACATTGCTGTTTAATGAAAATACATTGCATATGGTTTGTTTATTGTTATAGTATTGAAATAATAAGCAGACAGAAAGTAACAAATCTCTTTTTACTTATGATTGCTCTGAAAAGGGCAGTTTGTTTTGAATATTTTCGGGGGTTTTGATGACATCATCGTCAATTGGAGGCGTAAGTAAAACCGAGGGTTTGTATAACTGGGGTATGTAAAAAAGAGGTTCTACTGTAATTATGCTATTAAATTAACTATGCTTCAAAAATTATTTTACCTTAAATTTCACGTTCTTGGATACTGCTGCACAATAAGTCAATGACTCATCTAATTCTGGTTTAAAAACTAGTAAAGGAATTACATACTAATGGTCAATAAACACATAAATAAATAATGCTTTATGGTTTGTGATTAGCTAGAAATATAAATTTCAATATTGGAATTGTTTATTGAACAACACTCTTGTATACTGTACAGACCAAATTCAAAATTTAAAGTTTTTTATTCTCTACACAATACTACAACATTAGCAGCCAGAGCTAAACTGAAGTACTATGAAATAGCAACTTTAAATTAAAATATTAAACTAAAATTCTAGAATATTTAAACACTTTCAAAATGCAAAATTTTAAAATTTGCTAGAACAAGAAGTATCAAAATAAAAACATCAAAATGTAAATTCAAAAAAGCGCCCTGACAAAAGAATAGTTGCACAGTTGCTGTTATATTTTTAACAAGGTGAACTTATCAGTAAAAGAAATACCTGTGCTACTCTTAACAAACTTCCATTTGTTCGAAATTGGATCCATCTGAATATCTACTGGTTCTGGGTCCACTTCATGCGACAATACCTGACAGTAAAGCGATGGTAACTTATCCAAAATTTCTTGCCCTCTAATATGTCAGATGAATAAAATTTGTCAAATTAATGATTGGTGAAGATTCTTTGTAAATATTTACATATTTACACTGTATTTTGGGAAAAAATAGCAATGCTACAAATATAGCACCTTGCATACAATGATGGGGATTATAAAAGAACACATATTTAAAATATAATATGTACATTTCAAATACATTAAATAACAAATAGATCTAAGATTCAATAAAAAAAAATTTGTATGACTAATCAATAAATCAAGAAGTAGACAAATGAATAAATAAAAAAAATTAATAAATATAAACATTTATGGTAATATAATAATTTAATTATTATTATGATTATTATTATCTTAATTATTATCATGATTTGTAAAATGATTTTCAAATTGTATAGGGATCGGGAAAACCTACCTTTTTAGATACTGTAACTTTTGTTGTAAATTCTGAAAGAAAAACATAGTAGAAATTAATAATTGTAAGATAATATATGTTGATTTTAGGAGGATAAAATGAAGATGAATGGGCTATATAGCCGTTAACAAAACACGGTTCGTAGCCAGAATCGATGGAGGGAGTTTTGTGACCACTAAACTGAAAAAAATTGAAATGAGGTCAAAGAACTCACATTAGAGAACAGACAGTCAAAGGGAATAGATGCAGTTACCAAACTATGTACAAATATTAAAGCCAGGCTCTGCAGGAGAAAATTTGTTTGATAAGTTGTAGAACTTTTCTAAGACATAAAAAATACATTTGACAAAAAATTTGGAAGCAGTTAATGAGATAAAGATTTATGGATATTTAAAACTGATGGGGAAAAGGTGGAAAAGAGGGCAGTTAGTTAAATATTCAAAAATAAGTTTTTTGTTAACCGCTTCCAAGTGTTTTTGTCAAATATGCTTTTGTGTCTTAGAAAGATCAGTTCTACAACATGTAAAAAAAAATCCTCTGGAGCCTGCATTTAATTTTAAGTGGTCTCTTTCCTGTAATCCATGATTTTCAAATCATACTACTATATGCTTGGGGAACAATATACAATACTACAGTTTTCATTTATCATAATAGAAGGGAGCCTTACTTGCTCATTTCCTGAATTCCCGTTGAGTTTAGCTTTTGCAATTATAATTTGAAGGTCTTTTTCAACATTTTTCAACAACTGCTTTTTTTGTTTCCATATCTGTTTCTTGGTCTGGTGCATGTCTGCAATCTCATCTTGTAATCTGGATTCCTCCTGGTTCAGTCGTTTAATTTGTGCACATTTATATTCTCCAAACTTTCTTAAATAACCATCTGTGTTCTGTTTTAAGCCCTAATGAAACAATTAAGTAATTTATTAAATAACTCTCTGTGTTTAAGCTGTAATAATTAGCCAAATAGGCAAATTATAATAATACCTGAATTTTGCTAAATATTGTCATTCAAAATTAGCCAAAAATCTATGGTGAATTAAAGCTATCATTGCTTACATTTTGTTTTGGCTAATCAAATTTACATTTGGCTAATTATTTTTATACTGAATTAGCCATAATGCTAAACTTGTTTTTGGCCAACTATTTTTTATTCTGTAATAAATAAAATACCAGAAATGAAAATGCAAACTTCCTAAGTACAGTAGCCTGTAATTGACTTTATACATATCTTACAACACATTGTTTACCAAGTTTAAACATTAAAATTAAATTTGTATAAGGAGTAAAACATACCTAGCGAAATATGTCAAATATAAAAATTTATTTTATGGGGTTGCCTTATACTGTAGGTCAACTTACACAGAAGAAAATTATGGTGACATCAAAGATACACTATACCTACCTATTACTTAAAACACTACTATCCAAAGATTACACTATCAAATTCCTGGTGAGAAGACTAAACTTACATTAATTATTGTATTTTAATATGATTTTCACTTCATAGTTAACTCTATATTCTAAATTGAATATTTTAAAAATCTAAATATATTAAATTATATAGCACATTTTGCCAAAGAATACAAAGTGCTTAGATATGTGGTCTAGGAACTTGATCAATTATTTTCCTTCCCCTAAGGGTCCCATTCGTGTCTATCCAACCCGTTAACCGGTACCAGCAACTCTCGTCATAGTAATCAAACTCTTGTTTTTAATTATTTTTATTGATTGTTTGTTTTGTTATATATTAGTTTAAGTTTATTACTTGTATATTGTTTATCTAACTGAACTACCTCGGAAATCAGTACATTGTATTGGAAGTGTATCTCAGAAAAGCATAAATGAATAAATGAAAATGAAATAATATCTCACCAAAAACTGTTGTTTAATTGCATTCCTGCCGTGGAGGTTCACAAGGCTTTTACTAGATGCAATACAGTCCGACATGAACTTTATCTTTTCCTACAAAGAAGAAAATAATAATTATTGTCCATTTTGGGCTAAATATTGAAAATGAATTTCATTATTTGAATTGTTTACCTCCAACATCACAAAATTCATGATTTTAGAATATCAAATGGTACACCACATCAAGAAATGAGAGCAAATAAAAACAAAACAACACAAACAAAAATATAATTAAACTTAAAACTTATAGCAAAAGTAGCTGTATTACTTTTGATTGTGAAGTATTCTGATTGATTGATTGATAGCAATGCAAATGACTTAAGGACGTATTACCTTGTTGTTTTACAGACTGTGATTTTTACGATTTAAACTGAGAGTAGATGTGTAAAAATATGTTTAGTGGGTACGTATATTTATATTTATGCAGTGGATGCTCTAATTAACTACTGAAAGGGTCAAAGTCTGATGGGTCCAAAACAAGGGGCTCAACTGAATTTTAAAAAAAAAAAAAAAAAAAAGATTAGCTTTAAATTGGGTGTGAAGTGTTTGTTGTTTACCTTTGAATTAACAGTTAAAACGTTTTTATGAACAGAATATTCCACTGGTAGTACAAGCCCACCTCCCTCCGCTTAAATCGGAAGAATTTTCTGTTCAAAGGGGTGGGCTTACACCAGAACTACGATAACTATTATACATACCATTATTGAGTTAACAATCTCATCTTTATGTTTTACATCATGTCCAAAGTGCGTATATAAACACTGGAAACATGTATATACTTCACAGCTAATGCAAAAATGTGATTTTGGACGGCCATGTGTTTTACATTGTAATTCAAATGCCGAATCCTTATTATCCTCTTCAACCTCCTCTTTGTGTGGTTGTCTATGGAAACCATCCCAGCTTTGGAATCCACCAGTGGTTTTTCCCTTTGAATCTTCAACATCACCTTTATTTGAAGATGCCTCCAAACTTTTTAAATCATCCACATGACTCTTAAAGAGCTCTTTCTTTCGTCTTTGTGCCAGTTTTATAATTCTATTAAGATTCACCACAGAAATATCGGATTGTTTCTTTTTTCCAGATAAAGGATGATCTGGAAGGGATGTCTTCCCTATGAGGTCTCCACTATTCTCTTTACCATTTTCTTCTACTGAATGTGCATCTGTTTCATGCTGTTTATCTAGGTATCCATTTGAATCAGCATAACTGATGCCAGATTGAGGAACGATTAACTTTTCCTCTGCTATGTTTGTGCTGTGGCTATGATCTCCAGAAGCATCTTCCAGCAGATTTGATGCACCAGTCTCCTGCTGATGGCATTGATTTGGAGTTGATGATCTCTGTATCAATAGTGCAGATTTATCAAGCATACTATCTGTTGTTAAAGTCGAAATTTGGAACCTTGGTACAGTATGCAATCTGGAACCACTTTCTTTAGATTCTTTGAAGTGAAGAAGTGTACTGCTGTCATCATCAACACCGCCCTCTACAATATTTGAAGATCCAGTCTCGGACATAGACTCATTAGACTCATTTTCCAATGCATGGTTCTGTTCTTCTGCTACATCTTGCTTTGCCATTACTTCTACACCTGAGTTTGTTGAGTCTGCCCAGTCTGCCATGACTGTAGTTTTCTACAGGGTTTTGCTGAAATACGAAGTTTTATATATTTAGTTTATTTACTTTTTATTTAACTTAAATTAAAAATATGAGGCCCAGGGGCAGATCCAGGGGGGGGGGCTCCCCTGGCCACAGGGAAAAAAAGTGAGAGAGAGAGAGAGGGATGGGGGGGGGGAGAGAAGAAAGAAAAAAGAGAAAAGATCATATCTAGGCCTATTTATTACTACAGTACTTCAGTTGGTGTTGGTTTTTGTGGCTCGTGGTGGTTGCTAAATGATAGAATAAAAGTACAATCTTTTGGTATAGTTACCATACATCGGTATTTGTTGTATGTTATTTATAAGTATATAATAAATTAATGCCAACATAATATTCAACATAATAATCATTCGGCAGAAAATGTGTTTATGAATTATCAAATATATTTTTCACGACCTCATAACAATAGCAACACAATCTAATTCTTTAGATTAAAACGCCGTGTTCGACTGTCTTAGTGTTACTTTTTTCCAAAATTTCCTAATGGACTCCACCCCTCACCCCTTTACGTCACGTGTTAAATAAAAGAAGAATTTAAATACAAGGAATACATCAAGATTTTTCATTCTTTTATAGTAAATATTTATTCAATCAATTGCACAAGTAACAACTTTAATATAAGAAATGAATTACCATACTGAAAGTAAAAACTTACAAAGCTATAATTTTTACATAATTATTTTTTTATAAAACTAAAACACTTTTATCTATTTCAACTTTTAATAATAATATCCATATAGAATAAACAAGGTTTACTACATTTGCTCTTTATCAATATCAATGAAGCTTTTATTTTAAAAAAAATAGAAAACCAACAAATCTTATCCTTACTTGCAGTAGGTGTGACAATGGAGGGATAAAGTGACTATGTTTAATCATAGAGGAATAACTTTCATGGTAATACCCTATAATACTG